ATGCACACATCCCGTCTCCGTACTATACTAGTACCCATGACTAGTACCTATATTGGCAGCTCTAGTAAGCTTAGCTCGATGCTCGACGAGTTAGTCATCAAGAATTCACGGTGGCATAGGGAGCATACATTCTGTTTCACACTCGTTTGGATCATGTGTAATATTCCCATTGTATGCATTTTTCTATTACGAGACCATCATTTCTCACGTGATGCGGCGTGTGTGTGCAACAGGGAGTGTATGTCGCGCCCATGGCACTCGGCTTTGACTCATTTCCAAACTTCCCCTCAAGCAACCACTACACAATGACCAGCACTTCATCGTGGCGCACCAAGACGTTCACAGCGACGACCACGGACATCCACGGCCTCGTGCTTCAGACGCGCGCCAACTTTGTCACAGCCGACCCGACGGCGTCTGTCGCCACTGTGACGTTCCGGACCGACTCGGACGAGCTCCTCAACGCGATCCGAATTGATGAAGTCGACGCCGGCGACTCGCGCGCGATTTCCATCGGCTTTGACCGCAGTCTCTATCGCCAACGTGATCTTGAGGCCGCGTACATTGTTGACATTGCACTTCCGCCACAAGCGCTCTCGTACCTTGAAGCTGTTGGCAACGTCGTCGTGGGCCCGCGTGTCCTCAGCAATGCGACAAGCGACAGCATCCAAGTCCTCTTGACCGGCAGCGGCGACGTCTATGTCGACGACAGTACCATCGTCGCCGACCGCCTCCAACTCACGTTGCAAGGGTCCGGCGACTTGCAGTTTGCTGTGCCATCGCTCCACGCCAACGCCGTCGACGTCTCGGTGCAAGGCTCTGGCGATTGTGCGCTGTTTTCAACTGTGCTGGAAACCAAGACACTGGACGTCAACGTGTTTGGGTCGGGCTCTGTCTTTGCGTCCGGTGCGCTGAGCGGCAACCCGAGCGTGACAACCGACGTCGACGGGTCGGGCGACGTCAAGTACACGCTCTCGGGCGATTGCAGTAGCCACGAGATCGCCGCATCCGCGTCTGGCGATGCCAAGACGAGCTCGCTCGCGTGTGCGACGACGAGTGCCCGCGCGTCAGGCAGCGGTGACATTTACGCCAGCGCGTCGACGTCGTTCAGTGCCAGCGCGGACGGCTCGGGCGATGTCTACTACGTTGGCCCGGCCGTGCCTACCATGAGCGGCAAGTACCACACCAAGACACTGCACAGTGTTGACGCCAAGACGCCGCACGCACTGCCGCAGCATGTCCCGGCGACCATCCGCATTAGCTCACACGGCAACATCTACGATGAGAGCGGCGTGACGTGGCCCGCGTCGTCGGTGGACAACGACACTCTCCAATTCCTCGGCCTCGTTCTTGCCGCCATTTTCATCTACTTTTGCATTGTGCGCAAGTGCTGCCGCTCCAAGAAGCGATCGGCGTACGACGAGTTGCCAATGGTCATCGTGGTACCCGGGGCACCGAACCAAGCGCCGTACTATCAGTCGGTGCCGCAGTACGCTGCGCCGCCCCAGCTCGTCGTGCCGCAAGACACAACGTACGGCAAAGTCTAGTACATGGATCCTCCAAATAAAACGGCATTTTTCATGATATTATAGACCACATGGATGTAGGAACGAAATGGCGACTACACGATTGCGTCGGCACGCGTCGACGCAAGCGTGTCGACAGCAGCCTACGCAATGTCGATGACATGTGTAACAGTATCATAGCGATAGCGTACCCAACTGACGACGATGGCAAGCGTCACGTAGTATGGCACGCAGAGGTAGATGGTTGGGAAGTCGGCATACTCGAGGCGGTAGAGCAGCAGGAAGAAGGGAGCAACGGCACCCGTGAGGAGCGTCGTGAGGACCAAGCACATACCCCACATGCTCACGGGGGAGAGGCTGCGTCGGTCGTCGCGGTGTTGGACCGAGAAGCACGTCAGCATTGGCTACTCGTAAAATCAGCCAAAATCGCAGACGTAGTCGTCGCACCAGCACGACGAGACCGACGACGAAGCCCATCGAAATGACAATGATGCATGGCAACCACACAATGGTCCAGGTGCAGGCAAGAACGGCATCCAGTTTGAGGCCGATCAGTACCACTTGTATGCTGAGGAGCACGCCGCGGGGGCTACAGTGCAGCGCCCCCGCAGCCACAAGCGGCGCAAGCGCTGCCGACCACGTACAGCCAAGCACGTTGTCGAGGCGTAGCGCAACCAAGAGTTGACCGACGATCACCAGCAGGACGGACGGCAGTCGACACATAAAGCTACACGAAACACATGACTGCAAATTCCGCGATCAGTACGAACCATGCATGGTCGACGGACATGTCGTCGACGGCCACGTAGAGGCGCAGCTTGCACGCGTAGAGCACATACACGTCGAGGACCCAGAGAGGCGTCAGCGTCGATAGCCACGACCAGGCGACGTGGCCATCGATGCGCAGCGTGATGCACACTACGTCATCAATCATGAGCCACGCATGCCGTAGTCCCCAGTTCGCACGTGGGATCAAGATGAAGGGTGCCATGAGCAGACCCAAAAACACCACCAAGAGAATGTGGTAGAGTCGGCCCACAGACACGAGCTGGTGCTGCACGAGTGCCGTCAAGTAGGGCGGCGGCGCCATCGTCGGCGCCTCAAAGCGCAGTGTGTCGAGCGTCGAGAGCAGCGACGGGCGGCCGCTCTCGCACGGCGACGCGCCAGGCACCCAGTCACGATTCTGCATGGTCGATTCGATTCTAAGTGATTGCTTGCTTGCACGCAGCACGTTCGGCGACGCGACGAGGAACGTTCGCGGAATCTCGCCACCCGCGCCGACTCTGTTACTTGAATTTTCTTAGCTTAGAGCGACGGAGACGCAACGGCTGCCTCGGCCGGCCGCGTGCCATTGGCCAACGTCCTGCAAAACTGATCTCGGATCTGCGCCAGCTCGGCGCCAGTGCCAAAGACGAGCGGCTGGTCGCTCCTAGAACCTTGATAGGTCGCACGATCGAGTGGGATGGCGTACTGCTCCAGGCTGCACGCCAATAGCGCCTCGAGCTCCATGAGCTGCGCGGTTTCTACTTCCAAGGACACACTGGATGCTGGCGGTTGCTGGATCTGGTGGCAAAGCTGGTGCATGGCCTGGATGACATCGACCAGCGACGCTTCGAGCTCCGAGACTTTGGCCTCGACGCCGCCGAGCCTACGCGTATATTTGATTTTGTACGGTGAGATAGATACCAGACGCACCGATCAGACATGGAATGGTCGTGGCACACCTTGTCGACTTGAGCTTGGATGTCGCTAGTAGAATGCGTGGACCCTAACCCCAACGATAGGAATGATCGACGTACGCGACAAACTGGTGCACAACAGCGGTCAACGCCTGCAGTTTTGTCCCATGGCCCTCGCAGGCAGCGTCGATCTATGTCATCGTCCACGTCCACGTTCAAGTCGTCATAGTCGTACATTTGCTTGAGCAGACGCGAGTGCGTCGACTTGGGCCTGGAGCTCAGACATCGTTGGGCTGGACAAGGCAAGGGATACACTACCTTGAGCATAGTCTCGTCGGACAAAGGCGCCTACGCCCCTGCCCTCAGTACCTTACAAAGCAAACGGTAGTCTACGGCTTTGACAGAAGGGTCGTCATCCTATGCGATCGACCATGAGCAACGACAGACTTGTCGCGAAGTGTCAACATACCTCGTTCGGGCTCGCCGGTGGCAGCGACTATGCTGCCAATCGTCACTACCTTCGTAGACTGGATCTCTATATGAATGCACCTGGCGTGCTTCTACGAGTCCGATCGTGTCCTTCATCTCGGTTTCTACCCGTTTTAGGTCAGAAGCCAGTATCCCATCTTGTAGTCTTACGGAATTTCTGAAGAAAGTACTGGGTGCGCGTCCACTGGGTCTCGAGCTGCTGCTGTCGCTGGCTCAAAAGTTGCACCGCGTCACTCGCGTCTTGTCGCGCTATGCATTTTGCTCAGTGTGAAGCGCCTCTGGCGTGACGGGCGTACGTGGAGCGTGCTGTAAAAGCGGGGTAATTTGAGCTTGGAGACGGCCCAGCTCCCGCTCGACGCTCGATGTTTTGCACTGCCTCGGTGGAATGACAACTGGACTTATCGCAGCACGTTGTGGGGTACCCGCTTCTTGAGCGCCAGTGCGACCGCGTCCTTGTTGGCTTTGGTGGCCAAGTGGGTGTTCACCGCTTCAATGTCAGCCTTGCCGTCGATGATCGGCACAATCTACGCCGTCATGGAAGATTATTCCATTGCTTGAGTGAGGACATGTCCACCAGTCGCAACTCGTCTTCGAGGAGCCGTATTCGGCGGTCGGTCTTGTGAGTACTCGAGGATGATGGCTCCTACCTCGTCCTGCGTCGCATGGGATGATCGTGCGTGCAGCACGTACCGAGGCCTGGAGCGCGGCCAAAGCGTCGTCGTGGCTTGCCAGTTTGCTCTGCAGCCATCGCAGCTTGTCGGGAAGATCACCGTCGGTCGCCGTCGGTCGATGGGCCGCGGAGCTGGCAAAGATGGTGAGCTCGGATCGAGATGACATCGGTATGCACCGCTGTAGGGCCTGCACGTCGTCAGTCAGGCTGTGTAGTGCCCGCTGCGTCGCGCCCTTGTCGGCTCTTGCGTCGACATCCCGGCGGCATTGCTAGGATCGAGCTCACCTCCCGTGCATGCCAGGTAGACTTCTACCTCGAGCTGCTTCTCGAGGTGGCTGATGCGCACGTCTTGGCGCTGGCTCGACTCGAGGAGCTCCACAAACGTCGCACGCAAGATGCTCTAGACGCATGAGAACTCGCGCGTACGCGCTGCCACGTACTTGGATGTTTTGCCACTCGCCGCTGCCCTCTTCGAGGTCGGTCCGCAGAAAGGCCGGCATCGTGCAATCCATGATGACGTAATCCCGCAGAGGGATCTTACGAACCGTCGCGCCGGATGGTATCCGGACAAGTGGGCCACTGCTTGCGTCATCCTCACAGAGCTGACGACGCAAGGGTGACGTAGGAAGGCGCCTAGATGCGCTTCCAGACGACGCATCAGAGGTGCGAGGCCGTCGCCTGGTTCTGCTGCACCGCCCACCTGCATTTAGACTCAGGACCTGCTCGAAGTGGCAGCACATCGCCAAGGGCAGCCATGGGAGCGCGATGACTCAATGCAACCGGTTAGCCAAGCACAGAATGTGGTTACAACCGGTTGCTAGGCTGGCAACCGAACATGCTACGACTAGGCCGCCGACGACAGGAGCACTTTCACGGGTGATTTGCGGACCTTTTCCCGGTTCTTTGGCGACGGGAGGGGCAGGAAGCGTGGCGCCTTCAAAAAATACGCCGGAAACTCCATGCGCAGCGCTGTCTCGAGGCGGCGCTGGAAGCAACCGAGGAGCTCACTGACGTGCGTCGGTGGCGCGCGCCGCCCGAGGTCGTGCACGGCCGCTTCCACGACGCACTCAAAGGTGGACGGCACGTCGAGTTCGTCCCGCACCTGCAACCGCCCCATCTCGTACACGTTCAAGCCGCGCGCAACGCAAAGCTGGACAAACGCGGTGCCGAGGTGCAGCGTCACCGCGGCTTTGGTCGGAAAAACCTCGTTCGGGTACTGCCGGCGCCACGATTGCAGCTGGGTCGTGGCGTTAAGGCGGGCAACGTACGCCTTGGTGGTCGCGGATAGCGGCTGCCGCGCTTGTGGCCAGTGCAGCCACGTGAGCTGCGTCTCGCCCATCGCGTCGTACTCGGGCAGAACGCAGCCGTGGTCGATCGGGATGAGGCGGTTACCGGCCGTCCGTTGCACGAGGATGTTGCCCGGGTGCCGGTCCTGGTTGACGAGGCGAAGGTCGAGGAGAGCGATCGCGTGGACGTCCGTGATGGGAAACTGCGCGGGCCCGAGGTCTTCGGACGCGCAGTCGTGGGGCACATAGAGCTGGACCGACCCGCGCTTGAGGGTGCGCGAGTGGAACGCCTTGTGGCGACCGGTCGCGAGGGCCGTCGGCGGCACGCGCGCCAGCCGTTCGTCGTCAACAAGGTAGGCCATGCACTCACGCAGCGCCATTTCGCCCAAGGGGATACCAGCGCGCATCGGACCTGTCTCTTCCGGCGATGTCGGGGGCTTTGGGGTGTGGGGCGCAAATGGCTCTTCGTCGCTGGGCTTGAAAATGGCCTCGAGGCGGTGCGACGCCGACCGGAGAAAATACGCGCCACCGCTGCAGTCCTCAATCGCAAGCGGTGCGACGCCTTTTGCAAAGGCGCATTGGATCGCGGACGTGAGCGGGAGCAGTGGTGCGGGGGCGGCGCCGTCGACCGCGAAGATCGGCGCGACCGACATGGCGACGGGCGACAGGTGCGAGGATGATGGAGGCAGACGACGTCACGGTAGAGGTAGAGAGTGGGCGCGATGGCAGGCCACCGAGGAGAGCGGTACACGGGCCGTCGGGGACGGGAACAACAAAACGACAACGCCAATTCAGCACTGGCGGGCAACTTCAAGTTGGCCATTTTGGACCGCATATGATTGGTAGATATTCTAACGACGCACCAATCAAACGCGCGTATTTTAGTTGACCGACGGAAATTTCGAAACGAAGATCAGCACCAGCGGTCATGCCACCAACGATGACGATACTAACTTGCTCCTTCGCGTTTGCTCCTTCTAAATACCGTGTTCGAGTCGATGACCGTAGTGCTAGTTCTTTAGTTCGAGCGATTTAACCTTGGGAGCATCCGTCAAGCGACTCGAGATTGCACTACGTCAAACCAACGGCACCTGTGATTGACCAATCATCTGCCAATCACAACGGATCTCAAGTCCGACGTGGGCGGCAGTGCAGGACCAAGCAGTCAAGGTAGTCATGGCGAGACTGACTGACTACTCGGTGCAGATTAAGAGCGAACGAGGTGCGTCACTCGTTTCGAGCCGGCGCTTGGAAGCAAATCATTCTCTTCTTTCCGTCAAGGTTGCTCATGGGGTTGCGCGGTGATCTTGCCCGACGCGTCTGCATCTCGCCACGTCATTGCCGTTGGCGAACCGGTTATTTCAACCTTCAAACCTTCAATCCGTCAAGCCGGTTGGCACGACGGTTTCGAGCGAGTCCTTTCGCATCTTCTTCTGTAAACTTCAACGTGGGATATGAGCGCGAAAGGCCACGCTGTCGTCTGTAGCGAGTGCGACGACCAGCCCGCGACGCTCGCGTGCGCCGAGTGCCACGAGCCCGACGACAGCAACAACAACAACAGCAGTACGAACGGCGAGACGAAGCTCTGCCACGGGTGCTCGCTCCTACTGCATTCGCTCAAGAAGCGGCGCTACCACCATGTGCGACCGCTCGCCGACACCGAGACGACGAGCGCTGCGCCCGAACCCGCGACGTGGCACCCGACGGCGTACGACATTCCGGACTTTGAGGAGCTCGAAGTCGTTTTGCCCAAGCTGCCCGACGGCACATTGGGCATCGACATTGGCCAAGTCGACGGCGTCTTTGTCGTGCAGCGCATTTCGCGCGAAAAAGATGTCCGTCATCAGCACTTTCAGGACAACAATTTATGGTGCGAGTAGGCGTCCGCGCTCGCGGTTGGCGACGCCATCGTGCGCCTCCAAGGCCGACCTGTCCACAACGTGGTGTTTGCCCAGCTCCTGCACTTGCTGCATCGCGAGCCTTTGACCGTCAAGCTGCTGGTCGTGCGCGGCCACGACACACCCAGTACGCGCGCGTATACCATGTCATGACGTGTACCGAGTGGTAGGCGCGCTGTTGCATGCGTGGCTCAAGCTCAACGTGGCGCGGGACCAAGCCGCCCAAGAGCGCAGCAAGGAAATCATTGCGCTGCAGCAAACAACGTCCGGCCATTACCAGCTGCAGCCCAACGACGCCAACCTGGATCTGATGTTTGAGGATGCGGCCGTCTCGGACGCCAAGGTGCCCGTGATTTCATTTTTGGGCAACACGACCGCGGGCAAGTCGTTTTTGATTCGCGCGCTCATGGGCGACCACGAAATGTTTGTCTTTCTATTTTTCTCATTTTTATAGACAATATTATGGTGTCTAGTCGGCCGTTTTGCTTTGACGAAGACAAGATGTGCAGCACGACGGCCAACGCCAACATGTACTCGTCGACGTGCGTCGTGCCCAACGAGCGCGCCAACGTCATCGATTTTGAAGGCGAGAACGGACTCACACCATTTATGAACATGGTACTATACCATCTGCAATGCATCGATAGATTGATAGATTGATATTCTTTCAAATCGACTGTGTAGGTGTTGCGCACCAAACACCTCTTTCACTCGAGCAAGGCCGAGACCAAGCAACGGCACATGGCGGTCCAAAAGTACTTTCCAAAAATCGCCTACTTGCTCAGCGACGTGATCGTGCTCGTGGGAGATACGAGTCTAGTCAATAAGGACTACTTTACACGCTGCCGGGACTTTGCGATCAAGGCCAACGTCGGCATCTCCGAGACCATGTGCCGCCCGTCGATGCTCATCGTGCACAACAAGTGCAGCTTGACCGCCAACTTTAGCGTCGAGGCAACGACCGCCGAGTTTATGCAGGCGCACATTTACGACGAGTACGACGTCGTGTTAGCCGAGACAGGCCCGGTCGGGCTCGACCTCCATCTGGCTTCAAACAGCAACAACAATCTCGACGTCGCCAGCTTTCCCGCGGTCGAAGCGCTGGCAGCCGACGGCGTGGCCGCAAAGAGTGGCAACATTCACCTCCACGACCTGCTCGTCGCGATTGGCGGCGTCTCCACCGAGCTTCTCGGTTTGAACAAGGTCCAAGAACTCCTGGAGACCGCGTCCCGCCCCGTCGCGATCACCTTTCGGTCGGCCGACCTCCTCAATTCCGGTACCTCGTTCGTTTGCCGCTTGGCTTTATTTCTAGCATTTCTAGAAGCCAAAGGTTTTCTCGAGTACTTTGCGGACGTCAAGTGCGTGCGCGTGCCGCGGGGCGACATTCGCCAAAACATCCGCGGCAAGTGGTACAACGGCGACGAGATCCTCGACCAGCAGCTCGTCGCGATCCACGTACGCTTGTCTTTGGTTGAGTTTCTAGTCGACAAGTGTCCTAGCAAATCTTGAGCGACATGAGCGCCAAGCAAAAGGCGATGCGAACCGACATTAGCGTCGGCGAGCGCGGCTGGTTCTTCCTCCTCCGCTCGATCGTGACCCAAGTCGCGAACGAGCAGCCCGTATCGTTCGCGACGCTTCTCAACGACCTGCTCTCGACGGGCGACCGCGACGTCGATCGCATATATCCTTTTCCTTCTTTTCCTTGGATATACACTATATTTTCAAAAATCCACAGCATTCCTTGACGACAGGGATGACGTACGACGGCCACCTTTGTGCGTGTCTACGAGCGCTTCCCGCGGCGCGACGCCGACTGGTACCGGCTCTGCATTGAGTTTACGCTCGAGCTCTTCCAGCGCATGATCGCCTTCAACATGCGACGCAAAGCGCACGCGTCCATATTGACCAAAGAGACGGTGCACGGGACGTGTGTATAGTTTGACATAAGAAATGATCTATAGGTCTCGGCGCAGGCCAAGAAGAGTCTGTCGCTTCTGCTCAAGAGCGTCCAGCGCTTCTTGCCGTGCGTCGCGTCGTGTCCGATGGCCGAGGGCCACCGTTGCGGCCAGCACCGCATGTTCCATGTTGGCGCCAAGAGCTGCCACCGCACCGCGGTCAAGGTGCCCCGGTCCGGCGGGCGCTGGGACCGCTGGCTCAGCGAGCTTGACGGTGGCCGCCACTTGGTGTGGGAAGGCGCATTTGAAGCGCCGACACTGCCCGCGTCGTACTTTGATGCTGTCTACTGGGAAGACACTTTTGTGCATGGCGTGCTGGCACACTTGTTTGCTGGCGACGTGCAACACACAACGTCGATGGACCAGGTATCGTCTTGAGCCAGTGCTACTGCAATTTATAGGTGTACGTGTAGACCGATGAACTGCTCTTGCGGCTCCTTACGAGCTACCGCGGCGCGCTCATGCTTGACTTCAAGGTGTTTTCGGAGAACGCGCTCGGGCACATTCCGTGCACGCGGTGCTTCAAAGGCTGTGACGCCAAGGCGACCGTCGCGACCACGATGAAGGAGCGTCTTTTGCAGCTGCACTCGCGCATTGAGCTGCTCTACTTGGCGCCGTACCAGCTCGGTGTGTGTGCGCAGTGCAAGCCGTTCTTTACCGATCTCGGTTTGCTACCAGCGTAATTGTCGACGCTCGTGCGAGTGTATTGACTAAAAGTCGAGTAAACATGTCTTACATCCCATCGCATCTAGTTGGTACCGGTGTATATATCGATTGATAGAGACTGCACAGAAAGGAGAGCTTGGCAGCAGTGGCACCATGTTGAAGGGATTCACTCCTGACCGCTCACTTGGGTGTCCAAAGCTGCGAATAGAGCCAATACTATCCCCCCACCAGACCAGCGGCGAGCAAACGCCCGCCGAGCTGCCACGTCATATGAAACCGCCAACGGGGTCTCTCACCCGACACAGCTCGATACGTGTCTGCTACTACAGTAGTAGTCAATACGACAAAGATCCTTTGATGCGACCATTTGTGCACTTAACTATCAAGTAGAAATCAATTTATGAGACTCGAGTAGTAGGTCGACTAAATGCTCGTCAGAACGCTGCTGCGGCCACAACCAAGACGGTTAGCGAAAGAGACCCGGGTTTTCGACGACGACTTGGCTTTGGTCGGCGTTTTGCGCGGCGAAAAAGTTGCTCTTGGAGAGCGCGTGGGCGTTCGCCTCCGATTTGGCGTTGGCGTTCGCATAGCCCTTCTTGTTGATGTCCGACTTTTCAATGTACTGCGTATCGGCGTGCTGGCGAGCGTCCGAGGCGCGACCTTGGTTGGCTTCGTTGTACGAGTCGCCCTTGTTGAGCGCGTCGGCGTGTTTGTTGGCAGCAGACAAGGCCGACGGCACAGCGCGACCACCGCAGCCGTTGCCAAAGCAGCCGCCGCCGCAGCTATCGCCAATGCAGTTGCCGCGAAGATGGCGCACCCACGGTGAGAGCACTGCGCCGTTGGCGCTCGTGGCTGCGTTGTTCTTCTGGAGCGCATTGTTCTTGGCCGTTGCATCCTGGTAGCCGCGGTCGTTGGCCTCTTGGTTGGCATGGTTGCTGTCCACAATGAACGACTTGGCGACGCCGACGTTGCCGCTGTTGCTATCGGCGTGGTTGGCAAAGTTGCTGCTAGCGCGCTGGAGCGCGTTGGCCTTGGCGACCGCGTCCGTTTGCACCTGGGCGAAGAAGAGGTTGCCCGGATACCCAATGGCCGAAATGGGTTGGGCAGACGTCGCCGCGAGGCAGAGCGAGACAAGGAGAATCGAGATCGAGTGCATGGTCGAGTGGCGGACGCGGGGCGAATGCGAGAGTGGGCATAGAAGCCTTGCTGAAAGGTGGTAGCGCAAGCGAATGGACGATCTATATGTCTGTTCTAGACAGTCCATAGCTTTTTCGAGTCTTTGGTCGAGTGAAAT